CAACATGCATCTGGGGCTTCCTTTTTTTCTTCTTTTATCAAAAAACATCAAGAGACTATAATATACTCCTTCGAACCAATAAGACACGATACTTTTGTTGGGAAATCACCAATTACTGGGCGTTGCGATGAGGAGCATATACAAATTAAAGGAATGAGATATTCATTTTCAAACGCAATGTGTATATGTATATATTCAAATCGAGAGAGAGAAAAAAACGTGACACACTCCCCAACACCTAAATTTATCAAGTTGTTTTTTCCTGTTTTTGTACGTGTTCGCGAACCTCTGTTGCTATTAATAAAAGTGTCAAAGTAAACCATTTGGAGTTTAAAAGAGGAATTTAACGAGCTTCAAATGAGAGGGTGCGTCGCTAATAGAATATATAACCAAATATTTCGAGTAATTTGTCGAAATTTTTTACATATATTCTTCGAGCGAACGAATTAAATAACAAATGTAATTTGTCAATTGTTGGTAAAATTATTCGCGCGTGAATGTTGCATTGCGGATAATTTTAATTTTCAAATTATGTTATCAGGGAAAAAAATTTTTGTGCACCAGACGTTACACCTGTTGCCTCAATATAAACTTGGAACTGGGGTGTGATTTTGTAATTTCACTTCACTTTCACTTCACTTTCATTGCACTCTCAGTTTACTCTCACTTTACTTTATTTTTGTTGAATTTAACTTTATTTACTTTTCGAATTTTCTTAAGATTTTGAAGATAAGTTAAATTCAATGAAAATGAACTGAAGTGCGAGTGATATAAAAGTGAAGTAAAGATACAGAATCGACTTCCACATTACTTCCACTTCACTTTCACTTTACTTTCACTCAACATTAAATTCCTTTACTGAGAAAACTGGATAGTCAAACTTAGAGGGTTAGGTTTTGAGTGTAAAGCCTGATTCTCTGGATAGTTAACTTTTCCCTCCGAGTGAGTCAAATTAATCATCGGAGTGTCTATTTATCCCTCCGAGATTGTTACGACCCAATGGGAAGTAAACGATTGGTTCAATAATGGGCCATGCTTGGCGAACTCCGTTCCATTATTGGAACATTAATGGCAACCATCATTGGACCACCAATGGTTTAAACTTGGGATGATCACGCTACTGCCAATGATCGGTAGCCAAGCATCGGGCCAATATTAGTTGCCAAGGAATTGCCAAGGAAACAAAATCGATTTTCAAAAGCTTGATTTTTTATTGGCAGCCAACAAAAAACAAAGGTTTTGAAAATTGATTTTTCTTAATTATTAATTAAAATTTATTTTTAAAAAATATATTTTTCAAAAAATTATTTTAAAAAAAAATATATTTTTTAAAAATATATATTTTTTTAAATTAATAGAACATATTAATTTAATTTGTCACCTCTGGTAAAACAAAGATGAAAGACTGATAAATTCCCTCACTTTATATTTTACAGTGGAGGGATAACTGTGAATTTCTTTGCGAGAGAGGAGCAGGTACTTATATAGAGCCAGTGAGAAAGGTCACAAGCGAGAACAAATCACTAGCATGCACTCTGGCGGCGCTTGTCGGAACTGTTTTCTGGCGCGCATGCATATCCTGACATTATCGACACAGCGCTTGGCAACCAACGTTGCGCCACTTCCGACAAGCGCCGCCAGAGTGCATGCTAGTGATTTCTTCTCGCTTGTGACCTGTTTCACTGGCTCTATATAAGTACGTGCTCCTCTCTCGCAAAGACATTCACAGTCATCCCTCCACTGTAAAATATAAAGTGAGGGAATTTATCAGTCTTTCATCTTTGTTTTACCAGAGGTGACAAATTAAATTAATATGTTCTATTAATTTAAAAAAATTTATATTTTTAAAAAATATATTTTTTTTAAATAAATTTTTGAAAAATATATTTTTAAAAAATAAATTTTAATTAATAATTAAAAAAAATCAATTTTCAAAACCTTGGTTTTTTGTTGGCTGCCAATAAAAAATCAAGCTTTTGAAAATCGATTTTGTTTCCTTGGCAATTCCTTGGCAACTAATATTGGCCCGATGCTTGGCTACCGATCATTGGCAGTAGCGTGATCATCCCAAGTTTAAACCATTGGTGGTCCAATGATGGTTGCCAATTGTTTTGCCAAGAAAAAACCATTGGGTACCAAGCATGGCCCATTATTGAACCAATCGTTAACATTGGCAACTTCCCGTTGGGGAAAAACTTAACCTCAAATAGGGTAGATGTACCGTTTGTGGCCACTGCACCGGTTGTGGCCACTTTCAGATTTATTTTAGCATTATTGAAGTTTTTATAGTTACTAGTGAATTATAAATACTTTCATAAAATTCTAAAATAAGTAGGCAACACTGTGTTCACTTGTTTTTGACAGAAATTCAGCTGATTTAATTTAAAAACACACATAACTGTACAAATATTTTGACAGTGGCGAATAAGTACAATTTTTAGTAGATGAGTTGAAATATCACTGGGAAGTAAATGATTGTTTTTCGACATTAATATCAATATTTTCATATTTTTCTTTTTATACAATATTTCTAGGGGATAAATATTTATATAAAAACAATGCTTTTAAAATAATAACCTCAAATATTTGTAAAAAAGCCCGTGTCCAAAAACGGTACAGCAAAAATATAAAAGCACCGTTTTTGGCCACACTATATATTTTATCGGCAAAATTGTCATGATTTTAGTTTGATTAATAGTAGTTTTCATATTATAATTATCTTAATAAATGAATTCATTTCGAAAAATAATTTGAAGTATGACAGTATTTATTTTACTTCCATTGAATTAATAACTGAATAAAAATAATAATTTCACGTTTAAGTAATACATTTCTTGCTGTTGTATTTTCTAATTATTTATCCTCTGTAATAGTTAATTAATTAGTTTTTTAATTTGAATTATGCTATAATTATTATATTAAAAGTGTGGGTAAAATAACAAAACTTTTTTTTTCTTAAAGGCAAAAATGTTAATAAAAGGAAGAAGGAAGATTTAAAAAAAATCCAGTGCATGTTAAAAAAGTAAACTGTGATTTTAAATAAATTAAAGATTTATGGAATTTAATTAATTTCTTTTATAAATGTACTTAATTACTGTACAAGTTAGATTTACTAATTCTAATTATTTATTAAAAAAATATAATTCCTCAATATCCTGATAACACTTTTTTAAGCAGTGGCCACAACTGGGACAGTGGTGGCCACAAGTGGTGCTGGTGTGGCCACTACTGGTGAAACAGGTTTTTTGAAGCAATTTGTTTATTTTTTAATAGCAAATATAGCTAAAAAACTTTATTAAGTTTGAAAATCAATATAATTGACTCCAATAAATATGATATAAAAAAATTATAATAAAATTCAGTACTTTAATAAATCTATTTTCTTACTAAAAGACGACTAACAGCTTAAAGTGGCCACAACTGGTACATCTACCCTATAGTCTGTTTGTCCCTCCAGATAGTTAGTTGAATACTCCAGTTTTCTCCGTGTTCTGCACTTCACTTCATTTTCATGTCACCATCCCTTCAAGTTCACTCAACTTTTACATCTTTTTTTCTTCACCTTTACTGTCATTTCACTTCACTCTCAGATCACTTTCACCTCACTTACAAGTTACTCTCACTTTTATTTTAGTTTCACTTCTCATTCACTCAATTTTTACTTCACGCACGCATTACTATCACTTCACTTTTACTCTGTTTTCACTTTGCTATTAATTTATTATCACTTCACTTTCAAGTCACTCCAACTTTACAATCACTTCATTTAGAATTATTATCCACTTCACTTTCACTTTAGTTTCACTTCACATTTACTTTTTTCTCACTTCACTCTAACGTTGCTGGTTATATATAATGTGATAGTCACATGAAGTGAGAAGAAAGTGAATGTGAAGTGAAAGTGAAGTAAAAATGAAGTGAGATTTAAGTGAAAGTGCATTGAAAGTGAAGCGAAAAGCAAACTGAGAGTGAAGTGTAATTGAAGTGTTATTAAAAATGAAGTGAAAAGAATGTAAACTGAGAGTGACTTGAAAGCGAAGTGTAAGCAATCTGAAAGTGAAGTGAGAGTAAAAATGACGTGAAATCGGGGCATTTCTAGCAACTTTGACTATTTTCGAAGTACATTTTACTTATTTTTACAAAAAAATTCTTCGAGCACAACAACTTTTACTTTGAAAATAGTAAAAATTGCAAGAATGCACAGAAGTTCGAGACAGTTTAGGTTTCACTTTGTAAATATAGTAAAATTTACTTTATATTTTTTTCCGTGTATATATAAAATTTATAAAAATAATAATTTTAGAAAATTTTTAATTGCTTATTATGAATGCAAATGTTTTTGTATTTTTACATTTGTCAATATTTTTAATAATCATTAATGAGCTTTTATCAGTTAAACACATTATTACAAGTAATTAAATGTAAAAAATGTTAAACATTTTTCATTATTAAAAAACATGAAACATCGTCAATGCTAAACATTTTGATTGTTTTACAGGTCAATTGCATACCTACACTGTAAAAAATTTAGGGAGTTAACGGACTCGGGAGTTGGGAGTGAAATTTTTCGAGTTAAAAATCAACTCCAAAAAGAGAGTTAATTTCCAACTTCCTTCATTCAACACCCGCGCGAGTTATTTTTTCCATGGGGAGTTAGAATTTGGGTGTTAAATTTTAACTCTCTTTATTTAACTCCCCTGGCATTAACTCTCCAATGGGTGCGACTTTTATAGAATCCCCTGGGGAGTTAAAATTTAACTCCCTTTTTTTACAGTGTACATATCGTATATATAAATCGAAAATTTTTCATTCTTTTGATTTTTCTCAAAGAGTGCTAAACGGATTACCTTATTTTTGGTCTTAAAATTCATAGAATTTCATAATTTAATGCATTCTGCAAGAAAATTTGAGGTAAATTTTCCTTCTATTAAAAAAAATACACCGTGGGCTCTAATATGTGCAAAAATTATGTTAGTGTAGTATTAGAGTTTAGACTTACCCATTTTTTTTTAACAGGTCAAGTACGAGGACAAAACGTCGTTTTCTCCTTGTAAGATTCGCAAATGCCACAAATCTTTCTTCTTGGCTGTAACAATAATTAAAAAATGAACTATTAGTACTTAAGTTCTTATAATTATAAGAAATATTTAGTTTTATTTTTTATTAAAACAAATTTTAAGTAGGTACTAATTTTTTATTTAAAAATAACATTTTAATAACCGCTTTGCGCGGGTTTTGTTTTAATATAAAGTACACATATTTTGTATACATTCAAACTTTAACCCTCTTGGCAAAAAACTATGTTCGTTCCAAAAGCGTTCACGCAGTTCTCTTGAAAGTATCAAATTGATAAACTATATAAAGTATGGATCATATTGATGCCAAAAATTTGGATCAATTTTCTATTTTATCCATATTTTTGTTATCAATTCGTTGCAATATAATACTTTTAAGTTAAAAGTAAGTGTTTTTAAAACGTTTTTAGAACGTGTCACGTCCACCAAATAATGTTCTAAAAAATTTTAAGGGAAGTTCAAATAATGTCCAAGAACATTATTTGGCGGACATAAAATGTTCTATAAAAACGTTTTAAGAACGTTTTTGGAACGAACAAGCGGTTTTTTTGTCCAGAGGGAAGAAAATTTACATATATACAAATTTTTAACCTGGGTATCAAGTTCCTTCTATCTTGATGGACACTTGTAAAGTTCATGGAAGACACGACTATATAGAGTCGTATCCTCAAAATACTACAATAATTGTATATATACGAGAGGGCCAACTTTAAAATATAATCAAAACTTGTATTCGTGGGAGATTTTTCATAAAGTCAGGAGATTCCTGTCTCATTTCAAAAGTAATCAAGAAGCATTCAGATCCACAAACTACATGCAAATCTCACTCACAATACTGGCTTTTTACAATATTTTCTTTAGACCTTCGTTCAAAAATAACTTTCAATATGAAATAAATAAAATATTCCTGGCACTCAGGAAAAAAAATTATTCCTCTTAACTTTCCTTGTAATATTATTAATACACTGAAAAAAATTTATTTGATTCAAATAACCGATTAATTCACTGTTATCAATTACATACTTAGTTGAATCAAAAAAATTGTATTTAAATAAATTAAATGGTATTTGTTTCAAATACCATTTAATTAATTCAAATAAAAATTATTCGGTTCAACTAAATATTTATTTGATAATAGACAATTAATCCGTTATTTGAAGCAAATAAAATTCTTTTTCAGTATTTTTTTAAACAAGTTTTCAAATGTTAATTAAAATTAATTTTCTTTTCTGTGTTTTTGTCTAATAGATGCATTTTGGACTGAGTCATGAATGCGTGAAAACATGGAAATAGTTGAGCCCTCATAATGTTTGAAATTGGTTTATTGTTTGAATGAGCATTTATAACTTTAATATATACCTATAGAATGCATTCTTTCTGCCTGATAAACACTTAAATGAGCGTATGAAATTTATTTGTCACGTACAGTTTTATACGTGTAATAAACGAGTGGACAATTGATTATTGCATGACGTTAAGTAAAACATAATTGCTTCCACTAATTGTTATCCTTGAATTTAGTTAGAGTTAACAAAAACAAATATTCCTAAATTAAGAAAAATTATTTTCTTTTTCCTTAATTTAAGCATACGAAAAGAAAGTTAATATAAAATATTTTAAATGTATTTTACAATTGTAGGAGAAAATGAGACAAAGCGAAGCAGGAATACTAAACTATTAATTAATAAAATTAATATGAAATTTAATAAAGTTATATTACAATTTGTTAATTGTAGAAAGATACCTAAGAAGCTAAAAATTTAAGGTTATGTTTGTAATTTTAAAAATGGATGTATACACAAAGAGGATCAACTCTCAATATTAGCAACTGATGTTTAATTCTTTATTTTATATAAAATCATTAATAAAAAGTGATTTTAGTTTTAAATTGAACACAGAATCTTTTAATTAAGGTAAAAACAAGGACAAACATAACCTAAAATTAATTTGCTTCTATAAGCATCTTTCTTCAGAGCGCGGCGTCACATTTTAATAATAATTAATGTTCTTAAAATTATTATTATTACACAAAAATAAGTCTAAAAGCGTTCAGATTTTAAAACTGCAAAATGATTGAAACCTAATTTTAAGTTTTTTAAAAATAGATTGTAATTTTTAGAAAAAAAAGAAAACCATACTGTGAAGGTCAAAATTTTCAAAAATGGTTCTAAACGTTCTTCTTGTAAATCGTTTTAATTAAAAGTGACCTAAACGTAAGATTTATTTTTTTATCTTTCTTCTTTTGTATATAAATATTTCATTCAAATTCCTCAGTCTTAGAATTCGAGTACAAAATGTAAAAAGTTAGTAAGAAAATTAAATTTTCCAAAAGTTTCGTATGAAATGTTAGAAAAATGTTTTTTCTGACCCATTTGTTTTACATGTACACTGATGTTTCCAGAATCGATAAATTTCAGCGCGCATCTTGAAGAGGAAAAAAAAACTCTGACAGAGGGGAGAAAGAATTATTTTAAAGTTTTGGAAAAAATTAAGCTACTGTATATAGATATTCAGTAGCGCGTGCCTGAAGGTCTTAGATTTTCTCAATAAATGTTACGAGATCCTTTCTAAATTCCAAAAAAACTATCAGGGGTAAATCTTTATTGATATAAGAGATGCAGCTTGGCCACAAATTGACTCGAATGTCTGTTCTTCAAGTCGTGCATCAAGAAGGATTATCATCCTGCACCCATATGCAAACGTTTTCTTATTAGCTGTTGACACTTTATTTTTTCCGCATGGACCAACAGCCCTCAAAAACCACATATAGAAACCCATAGTTTTTCTAATACGATCACCCATTAAAAACAGTTTTAATGGGTGATAAAGCAATGTATAATTAAAAACACTTTTTTGTATAGTTTAACGAAATAAAAGAGAGATTATGCTTCTTTAAAATAAATTTAGAGAAGCAAAAGAAATCCATATGACTGATGTTAAAACTTTTTCTTGAAAATAGCAAATTGATATCAAAGTGGATCAAATTGACACAATTTGGATTAACAAAATTCAGTTTAAATTTGTGCAGTTTTTAAATTAAATTCAATAGTTTTACTTAGCAGCGGAATAAGGATTTTTGAAATGCGCCATCATCTAAAATTCAAAAAATTTATTTTTCGCCAAAATGTTGTTTTTTCTATAGTGCTTTATATAAAAATACTATATCAAAGGATTTGACAAAAAAATTTTTGTTATTATTATAAACAATTAAAGTTTTTAGACATTTTAAAAAAAAAAAATTAATTAAAAAAAATTGTTAATCGATTTTAATGATACAAATGGTATTTTTTTTAGTTTGAGTCAAAGTTTTAAATAAAATTTTTTTTGTAAAAAAATATTTAAGTTTAATAAATAAATAAACTATGGAAGCGTTCACAAATGATGTCACACAATTTTTTAGTATTTTAGACCCCCCCCTCCCCCCTGTCACGCAATTTCATGCAATTTCCTTTGTAAAAATACATTGTGTCACGTTTAGTAGAGACCCCCCCCCTACCCCCAAAAACGTGACATCATTTGTGAACGCTCCCTATTTATTTATAACAAATTAGCAAAAAACCATGTTCCCAATCGAATTTTAAAATGAAAAAAATAGTACTTATTCTTTGATTATCACTGAGTAATATTCCGTTGCGAGAAAAAAATGGCACGGCTTTGACAACTGACTTATTTAAACATTTTTAATTTAATTGTTATTTAATTGTTGTTGTTTTCTTCATAAACTGTACCTAGGGTTAGAAATTTCTAGTTTTTTCATATATTACTCTCTAAATCTGAATATGTGAAATTTTACTTATTGTACGTTATAAGTCGTCCTCTCGATCAATAAGTGCATATACACTTATAAATAAGTGAATTTTTCACTTATTCTGAGTGAAATTTCACTTATTATAAGTGTATATGCACTTATTGATCGAGAAGACGACTTATAACGTACAAATATGTGAATTTTCACATATTCAGATTTAGAGAGTATGCATTTTTTGTAACTAAAACATTCAATTATAAGAAAACAAAAAATTAATTATATAAACATTATTTAAACAATTTATTTTGTTAATTTTATAAATTTAGGTACTGTACTTAAAACTAGAAATTCCTAGGTTTTTCTCAATTGTGCAATTTTTTATAACTTAAACACTGAAGTATAATAGAGAAACTAAAAATTTATTATTTAACCATTGTTTACACAATTTATAGTTCTTAATTTTTCAATTAATTGTATTTAGGGCTAGAATTTTCAGGATTTTTCTCAATAATAATTTTGTCATCAATAGATTTTCGTATCATAAAAAAATGCATAATATAGAAAAAAACTAGAAATTTTTAACCCAAGTCCTGCTCGGGATTAAATTTTTTTAAATAAGTCAGTTGTCAAAGCCATGTCATTTTTTTCTCAACGAAATATTACTCAGTGATAATTAAATTGTACTATTTTTTCATTTTAAAATTCAATTGCGAACATGGTTTTTTGCTCATTTGTTATAAATAAATAGTTTGTTTATTTATTAAACTTCAATATTTCTTTACAAAAAAAAGTTTATTCAAAACTTCGACTCAAATTAAAAAGAATGCCACTTGGATCATTAAAATCGTTTAAAAAATTTTTTTAATTAATTTTTTTAAAAAATGTGTCTAAAAGCTTTAATTGTTTATAATAATAACAAAAAAAATTTTTTTGTCAAATCCTTTGATATAGTGTTTTTTTTATATTTAAATAGGAAAAACAACATTTTGTCGAAAAATAAATTTTTTTAATTTTATGGCACGTTTCAAAAATTTTAATCAGCGTTGTTCTTTTTCGGATTTAATTTAAATGTACGCTTAGTTTTATATGTGTTTGTGTATGTTTATGTGAACGTGTATGAATTTTGTGTATATGTGTATTTATATGTGTATGTGTTATTATATTCTGTATATGTACATGCACAATTTTACTGTGTGAGTTAATATAATAGAGGATTTTTTTAATTTGCCAATATGCAGTTTTCCTGTATACAGTTGAATTGTG